ACGCAAACGATCATTTTCAAAATAAAAATAAAAATACTATATAAATTATATTACGACTATATAAATTAAATTACGAAGTAAAACAACACGGCTCCTAATTTTGTTAGTCTTTAGGAAATGGTGCAGAAGAAAAAGGCTGTCACATCTATCCTTTAAATAATGATATAGAATTTTCAAAAGCTAAATGCTACCTCAAAAATATTTATGTAGATGAGTATACAGTAAACATACCGCTAAAAGACTTTCTGATTCACGCTCTTGAAGAACTGTGTGACGTACAGGCTCCTGTGCTAACTAAACTGACATTTAGATGCAAGGCTGAGTTTGATGGTGCTACAGAGCAAAGTGTTTACAAGCAGGTTAGCCATAATGAAAATATCGAAAAGAATATAAAGAATGAAGTGTGTTTGTTTATTACTTGCATTGTACCATTATTACTTGCATGGTACCATTATTACTTGCATGGTGCCATTATCACTTGCATGGTACCATTAGAACGGAGTGAGTTTTATAATAATAAAAACGTAGTAGTGTGGAGAAACAAAAAACCATCATCAACTGCATATTATCGACCAGTAAGACTTTTGTTTCAAAAGGAAACCAAGAATGTTGTAGAAGAAGATAAACAAACTACCGATTCCAATATATATTAAACTATTCACGGTATTATATGTCACAATCTGTCCACAAAATTTTGGTTCATGGTCATGCCATAATTGCAAGACAGTTTCTACCAATCGGAATAATGTTAGAAGATGCCCTAGAGGCGGGAAATAAAAACTTTAGGACCATTACAGCAGAAAGACTTTAAAAAAAGATACAAACCAAGATTTGATTATTAGGCTTCTTGTATCTAGTGATCCGGTAATAACATCTCTTAGAAAATTAAAGTTAAATAACAATCAAAGTTTGCATAAATTTCCCAGTGAAGCTGAGAATTAGTGAGAAAAGCTCTTGATGATTTGTAATATATAAATTAGTCCTTTGTTTTCTTTTTTCTTTGCATTTTTTGAATCATAATTATTTTTGGTATAAAAAAACTAAAGTTTATGTCATTCAGAAAGTGGGGGCATTAGATTTTAAAAATAAAAAAAATATAATAGAGGAAACCGGGGCAACATGGCGAATGGAGCAAGATGGATTTTCATATAACAACTCAACAAAAAATCTTAAAATTGGGTGAAAACGAAACTGTATTTACATCTTGTATTTTAAAACACCAATTGGTTTTTTGAAATATTATCAACCCAGTTTTATACACAAGTTTACTTTTTGCGCTTAAAAAAAAATTCCTTACTTTTGGTTTCTCATAATGAATGGTGTCCTTCAAGTTTAACTTTTTTAGAAGTAGTTTTTTGCAATTTGTGTTTATTTTTTGTTACTTTAGTTAGAGTCATTGGTAGTTTTTAAAACTTTATAAAATTGGAGGTAAAAATTGCATATAAAAGTCATCTTGCCCCAATCACGTGACCAAATGACAAATTTATGAACTTTTTATTTTAATATTTATTTCAAATTGTTATATTTGCAAACTGAAAATTCATACAGGCAATGAAGGATTTTAATAACATAAACATACTGAGAGTATTATTGCTTCACGACTGATAGTTTTGCCATAACTCAGGGCTTTCAAAACGTTCGCTATGTTGCCCCGCTTACCCCTACTTTAAACTAGATCATAATTAGTCTATAACCTTTACATTTCATCATAAAATATTTTTATATTTAAAACGTCATGAGCGTTTTATGAGAACTTGAACAACTTGAACAACAAAAATTATAAATCCGCGTTTTTAAAGTTTTTTAAATTATTTTCTGTTTATCCAATAATTCAACTAAAATTTATAATAAAAGTAAAAATTTCTTAGCAGTTCTACCATAGGTTGTGTAAATTTAATTTTTTTCCTTCTACCATGCACTGGAATATTTTACTCATGAGAAGCCGCTTATCCAGTAAATACAATTCTTTTTAAACGTTTAAAAAACGTCCTGTGTTTACTTGGTTTTCTTACGAGAATCTTGAATATTGACTAATATTAAAAACAACTAAATACATATTTGACTTTACCTAAAAGTATATATATATAATAATTGACTTACCTAAATATTCCGAGGCAACGCAAGATAAAGTTTACATTAAGTTTTTTTTAACCATTAATTACATGACCACACTGTTTAATTTTTCAAATAATAAAGATTACACAACATTTTTGTTTATGTTAATTTTTTAATGTTTCTTACATAATTTTTGTATTGTGGTTTTAGTGGTACCATTGGTTTTGCTCTATCATCAAGATTTCCTGATAAAAGCATAAAGTATATTTCGGAGTTTTTGTATATATGTAATGCATTAAATAACATTATATATATACATATATACATGCTGATTTTAAATCATTCTCTCTGCTGAGCCACTGACAGAGGCTTCGTATATTTTTTCTTTAATCCCACGTTTAATATTACTTTTCCTTATTTTAGTTTTTTAGGTATTCAATTGTCACTTTGTCATTGTTTATTTATGTTGATTTAAAGCATTTTTATATTAAATTTTAAGCATATTTTGGGTACGGATTTTTTAACAAATGCTACTGAGAGAATAAGTTAACTATATTCTTTTGTTTATTTTCAGTTTATCTAATTACAACTGTTATATGAAGTGGTGAGTATGTTTAGTATCCTGCAAGCTTGTCCTGACTCATTCTGTTATGTTTGTGGTTACTATATTAGTCCAACACAAACTAAACATAAGATTGTCAGTGGTATAAAATTCTTTACTGCATATTATACTTTTTTTGGCATGGCTATGAGAGATCAGGACAACTCGTGGGCACCACACTACAGTTGTAATAGCTGCAAATCGCTTCTGGAAGGATGGCTGCGTGGAATCCGAAAGTCAATGCTCTTTGCGATTCCAAGAATATGGAGAGAATCGACAAACCATCATGATGGCTTTTATTTCTGCATGGTTGACATTTCAAAGTATAAAAAGCTAAAGAATAGGCTGACTCTAGTTAATCCAAGTATACCCTCTTCTAATGGGTCAGTTTCACACAGTGATGAATTGCCTGTTCCTAACCACCTCAATGCAAAGAAGCAGCTTCATATCATTCTGATGTAGACACACCGGATGAACTCCGTGATGACTGTGATTTTAGAGAACCGAATGATTCACCTCATTTCCCTAACCAACAAGAACTTGATGACTTAGTACAAGATTTAGGTCTCACTAAGTAAAATGCAGAACTTCTGACATCACGTTTGAAAAAATGGAATTTATAAGATCCAAGCTGCAGAGCCTCGAAATACCAAAAAAGACATGAAACATTTGCATTCTTTTATGTAGTATCAGAACCACTGTGCTACTATAATGACGTTCGTGGTCTTTTCGATGTCATAGGCATTGTTCACAATACTGAAGAGTGGTGGTTATTCATTGACAGTTCAACAGCTCTTCTGTTAATCTAAAGGAAGACTACAAGAACGTGAAGTTGTTGCTTGAGAAAAACAACTACGATAGTTGCAAGTGGGATGTATGTGGAGACTTTAAGATGCTAACTTTTCTTCTTCTCGGTCTAAAATGAGGATACACAAAGTACTCATGTTTTCTTTTTTTATGGGATAGCAGGGCTACGGACCAGCACTTCACGAGACGTAAGTGGCCAGTGAGAGAGCATTTACAGCCTGGTTTGCACAATGTTATCAATCAATCTCTGATACCTGTTGAGAAGATCTTACTACCACTCCTTCACATTAAACTAGGTCTTGTCAAACAATATGTCAAAGCATTAAACCAAGCTAGTGCAGCGTTCAAACATATTCGGCAGATTATGCCAAAGGTGTCAGATGCAAAAATTTCAGCAGGTGTATTCGTTGGTCCGCAGATTAAAGTTATGTTGGCATGTAAGGAGCTGGAGGACAAAATGTCTGCTGTTGAAAAAGAAGCATAGATTGCGTTTAACATGTTGTTCATAGTTGTTTAGGCAACAATAAGAGTGATAACTACAAAAAGCTAGTGGAAATCTGAATTGTACGGTACGCAGATATAAAATGCAGAATTTCAATAAAGCTGCATTACACTTGGAATTTTTTAGACCATTTTTGGGTGATGTGAGTGAAGAGCATCGAGAATGTTTTCATCAGGATATCCATGCAATGGAGAAAAAATATCAGGGCAGATAGGATGCAGCTATGATGGGTGACTACATATGGTGTTTGATACCCGATGACAACAAACTTCATAAAAGAAAACCACGTTCTACTGTTCACTTCTAGTGTTTTTTGAGATTTTAAGAGACTATTACATTAGAAAATAATGTAACATTATGTAATATATGTATGTAACATTATGTAACATGATGTTTTGTAACATAACATATCATTTTTAAACTAGTAAATGTTATATATTGACTAAAGTTGTATCGCATGCAATATGATTAATATTAATTATGTGTTTAATTGAATTTATGGTTTTATGATCAAACGGTTGATGCAATAAAAAAACCAAAGTCATATTCAGACTCAGCATACTCAAATTAAATTAGAAACATCAAAAAGTTTCGATAAACAGAGAAAAAATTTTTTTGTTGCATTGTGTTATAAGGTATGATAACAAATATTCCTTGTAGCAAATTATTTAGTCTAAAAGTTTTGATCTTAAAAATAATTGTTCTATTGTTTCATTTGGCTAATGTTCCTAATTAAGTTGCCAACCACTGGGGTTTAACATATACTGAGAAAAGTAGAGAAAAGTAAATATGTCGGTAAAATATTGGTTTACTATTATTTTAAATTGAAAACTGCAATTTAAAAGCGACGGTTACGCTATTGAATACACTATACTATATCACTAGAACATAAATGATAATATAAACCCTATTTAAAATATGTTGCTAAAAATAGCTCATTTAACTGTGTCTTGCGTGTATTAAAACAACATGTTTAGTTATTTTATGCGTTACTTTATATTATCCTTTATACAATCAGTAGAGATATGTAAGATGTAGATGTTACCTAACATATGTGTAAAGCGATATTATATAGCGATGATTAATCTACACAAAACTAGAACATAAATGATAGTATAATTATATTTATAAATATGTCAGTAAATAATAGCTCATTTAATAATGTCTTGCATATATCAAAATCACGTGTTAAGCTACTTTATACATTCAATACTGATATGCAAAATGTAGAGATGTTACATAACTTATCATATGTTTAGTTACATGCATACAGATATAGTTATGTAAATATATGTTTTGTAAATTGCAGAAACAACAAAGTTCGTTAAACTAATAAATTTTAGAAGATTTTATTCAAAGTTTTTGTATGATTAAAGTGCAGCTTGAATCTCGATGCTAGTTAGTAGGAATCATGTTACAACCAAGCATCATTAAACCTTTTGCCGTTCAGGGTAACTTTTTAATTAGATTGTTAGATAAAATAAATAAGTTCAAATACACAATAATAATATAAACATAAATGTTTTTTTTTAAATTAATATTCTTAAATAAATTACAGAATTCTCTTTGAATATTTAAAGCATAGTGAAATCAATATAAGATTTATTTAATTTTGTTTCAAAAAATCTAAATGTATTTTGTAAAGGATGTAAAAAATATATCCCAAAACGGGGTAGACCACAAAAAAATTGTAAACAAAACAAATAGAAAAACTTGGGATTATAAAGCTTTCACATATCTCAAAATAATATTACTATTACTTTTGTAAACGTGTTCCTTTAGGACTCATTTTAAATACTTATTTAATGCATGAAACCTCAACTTTATAATCTTTAAAAAAACTAAACGTAAAGCTATTAAAATATTTATCCGTAAAAAAATTTAAAAAATTTTACAAGAAGAATAGTGGAATAGTTTTAATGTTAAAAGTAGAAAAATTAGTTTATAGTAAACGACTTTATATGTCAAACTGACAAAGTTTAGGTGAAAACATCATTTAAATGTGTCAGTTTGTCATTAAAAGAGATAATAATCAACAATTTTATGCAAATTTTAAATATTTTTGATGATTTTATGATAATTAATTTTTTATCATTGTGAATTAGTATCTAAAACAAAAATATAAATTTACTTTTAAATAAATTAATTTTTGGCTTTTTTTTTTTTTATCTAGAAAAATTGATGGGTTTTACTCACTAATAAATAGTCGCTAAAAACTAAAATTAAATTGCCACGGCTTTTTTTTTTTTTAAACAATTTTTTTTAAAAACTAATTTAATCTAATACTTGATTTTTAATCAATTTTGGTAAAAATCTTATTCTGTTTTTATGTAGTTTTATAACTAGAAAAAAACATAAATTTTGAAACTTCGTAAAGTGTTGTGAAACTTTATAAAGTATATAACGCAAAGTATGTTTGTGACGTAGTGACAGCAAACTTTTTATGTTCTTTGATTAAAAAAGTAATATTTTTACATTAATCGTTCAAATTTTATCACTAAAAAAACAATTGCATTTCAAAAACAAAATCTGTTTTTTACCATCATGTTACAAATGTTATTTTGTCGAAACAGAAAAAAAAGTTTTACAGGAAATATTTTAGAGCACGTTTTAAATGAACACACAATAAATAAAAACTGATACACAATAAATAAGAATAATAAACAAAAATAAAACTGATAACAATTGTTAATACAACCTTAGAAATGTTATTTCTAATTTCTTAGATGTTAGAATAGAATTATTTTATCTTATAATTTTGTTAATTATTCTGTAACTGTGTTTTTCTTTATTTATTATGATGGTTATATATATATATATATATATATATATATATATATATATATATATATATATATATATATATATATATATATATATATATATATATATATATATATATATATATATATATATATATATATATATATATATATATGTATATGTATGTATATATATTAATAATTATAATACTTTGATAACAATTTATTAATAACAATAAGATAAAATATAAATTTAGAAAAATTATATTTAATAATAAAGTTAAAAGTTTTTATTTTTACTTAGCATTAATTTTGTAATTAAAAATAAAAAAATTAGTTAAAAACAATTATTGATTATTTACTTAAAAAAGACAGTATTATTTAAATGTTTGAGATATTTGAGCCACGTTTTGATATTCGAGTCACGATCTGAAAATAAAATCAATGAAAGTGAATGAAATCAAAAAAACGACGCAACTAATTGATTTATTTAGCTTTTTTCATTTGAAAGAACTACGGACGTAGTTATATTTACGAATTCACAAACGCCTATCCGTTGACGAATTAGCAATAGTGTAAAGTTTGTGTTCCAAAAATAGATTTTTTTCAACAGTGAAAAGTATAATTGATATTTGGACAGAAACCGTAGAATTCCTTAAAAATCGCAACTTTGGACAAACAAACAACTTGACGTCACCAAAATGTACCCTATTTTTTGAGACTGAAGTTAACCGCAAATTTTGAATGTGATACCTGTTATGCTGTCAAAAAGTTGAATTATTCGGCTGAAACATTAAACAAAGCACATACTTGCTTTAAGTACGAAAAAAATTCAACTATTATTTTATTTAGTGACAGTTTTCAAGAAGTAAAAACAGTGTTTAAGGTTTTGAGCGTAAATAATAAACGATTTATATATAAATCTAACACGTCACATGTATTACGTACATGATAAATTTATAAATCCCACAACAAAGTGAGAAATTATTACTTAAAGAAGCAGAGAAGAAGTACCTTTTGATAAATTTGGAGAAATTTAATTAAAATTTTATTAGTATTATTTTTTAGTTATTTTCATATTGGACTGATTAGCAACTGCAGAATTAAGTTTAATAAAGAGAAAAAAAGACTCCGAATAGGTTTATTCTATTTCTTTGAAACTTTTGTGTAAAAAATTGTTTTAAGAAAATTGAAAGAGGATTAACAACAGAAGAACTAAATTATCTTTTTCATAGGTTTTTTTTTCATTGTCACTCTAGAATTATAAAATATAATAGTCAAATTAATAAAGCTGCTAGGTTAACGTAGTTAGGGTATCTAAGTTAACTTATGTTAGGGTATCTAAGTTAACGTATGTTAGGGTATCTATGTTATAAGGCATAACTCTAAAAAATGGCCACTAATCAAAAAATTTAAATTCTTACTTTTCAAAATTTTCAAATGAATTCGTAATGGCTGTTTAAAATATTTTGTTAACTGCCAATTTTAAGTAATTGGCAGTTATGAATCTAGAAAAATTTAGTTTTTTATACTGAGCTATTTGAACATAAAATTTCGTTTATTTCAAAATGTGTCAATAAATCTTCTCAGGTTATTTGTTCTCCAAAATTTATTTTTAAAAGTATTTACATAAGTTAAAAACTATTGTGTATACGGGCGTAAAAATTATGAAATAATCTATTAAAATGTGAAATAATATTATTTTATTTTCATTGGTTTAAAAATTTTTTTGTTGCTTAAAGTATTTGCAGTTTATTAATAACTTAAAAGCTAAAAACTAAATTGTGATATAACCTCTATCAATATACTTAAAAAAGAAAAGAAAATCAATCAAGGTGAAATTATTAGTAAATAAAAAACTTATCGGCGTCAATTTAAAAACTTAGATTTTGTTATTTTATTCCAAAAATTTTAATGTTATTTTATTTGCTGATGATTCGAATTTTAATGTTATTTTATTTGCTGATGATTCGAATTTTAATGTTATTTTATTTGCTGATGATTCGATTTTTTTTTATTCAAATAGTAATAAAAAGATCTGTTACAAAGAATTATTAAAAATAAATGAATGGATTACAATAAATAAACTTTCATTAAATGTTGAGAAAACTAAATTTATCTTATTATACAAACCTAGTAGGGGAGATAACCTTTCTTTAAAATTACCCAATCTCTTTATGAATAAAACAGCTATTAGAAGAGAGTCATCGTTATTAGTTATTAGTTGAATACTTTGTGGGTTATTTATGGGTATTCAACTAATAACTTTGTTTTTCCAAGATCTTAAATGAAACTCAGTTCGTTTCAAATTCAATACCGTCGACCATTTATATGAAAAAGTTTTTGGAAAAATATTATTAAAAATAAAAGTCTTCTAAATTCTCGCTAGAACAATTCAAAAGAGAATCTAAACGATTTCTATTAGAAAATTACTTCGATCTTAAATATTTTTTTTTAAATAAGTACCTACTTTTTTTAAAATAAGTACCTAAAATAATTAAACTGAAAAAAGTCATCATTACTCACTTATTTCTGTCTTGATTTGTTTCTTATTTTCTTCTTTTAAAAAATAAAAATAAATAACTAAACAAAAAAAAAAAAAAAATATTATTATACGATTTACTAATTGTAATATATTGTGTTTTACTATATAATCTTCAACCTGTAAATTTTTAACTTTTAATTTTAACTTACATAAACTACATTGTCATACAAATTACGCGAATATTATATGGGGAAGCACTCACAGAACAAAGCTAAAATCTCTTCACCTTCATCAGAAACATGCAACTCGTGCGATAAATTTTTAAAATCGGTTTTTTCATACGAAACAACTTTTTAAAGAAAAGAATATTTTAAATGTATATCAACTAAATGTCTTTTATAATTTATGTTTCATGTTTAAATGTAGAGAAAATTTGTTGCCAAATGTATTCAAAATCTTTATTGTATGAAACCAAAAAAAAACAAATATAATTTTCGAATTAATAACAATCTTATTGCCTCTTTTTGTCGTAAAAGCAAAGACCAGTATTTTGTTTCATACCGAGGTCCTTATCTCTGGAACAAAATAGTCTTACCAAACTTTGATTTTTCCACCCAACAGACTTTTGCTTTATTTAAACAGAAACTTAAAAAATTTATACTTTTAATTGAAAATATCTTGATTTATTTTTAATTGCTTTTTTTGTTGTTGTTGTTGTTTTATTTTGTATATTAATTGGTTTAACATTTTATCTTGGCTTTTTAACATTTTATCTTGGTTTTTAAATATTTTTGCATAAAGGTGTATTATTATTTCACTACAGACATTGTATTTTTATGAAAAATCAACCATATATTGTAAAGGACTCATGATCCTCATGATCTTCTAGAAGTCCTGTCGTTACTAATGTAAAAGTTGTAAAATATATTTAGTTTTTGTAATATTGAAAGGCAAAAAAAAAAAAAAAAAAAATTAAAAAAAAAAAAACTGAAGGCGACAATGTAAACGGGGCTCGGCGATAAGACAATATACGTCTTCTTCTTGCTCCGAGTATTTATTATACGTGTACGATCTTTTTTATTGTAAATTTTTTTAAACGGCAAAGGAAATGAATAAATAAATAAATAAAAATTAGCATAAACTATTTTAATATTAACTTTAACAAATTTGAAATACTTTTTTGATAAGTGTATCGAATGTTAGAGTGATTGGCAGTTTTTTTAATGTTAAAACATTACTACATCTGTCCAACAACATCTGTGGAGTAGTCCAAGATCATCTGTATTTTTCTTTTACTCTAATAACATCAGTTCAATATCATCTGAAAATTCAACATCTGGTTAAAATAATGCATTATTAGTTAATATTTTTTTCCAGATGTAACTATATCTGTAAAATCCACAAATGTAGTTGCACAGATGCTATTACACTTTAATAATTTAAAAAATGTAACTACATCTGCAATATAATTTCAATAAAATGAAATTATATTACAGATGTAGTTACAAATTTCAGATGTTGTTGGGCAGATGTTATTGTACCTCATTATATTACAGATGTTGTTGGACAGATGTTATTAGACATGGCAAAACTGATGTTGTTACCCTGACCCTTTTTAATTTTTGGCTGATTTTCCATTCCTAGTAGCTTTTGTAGTTGCTGAAATACCAAAGAACGTTGAAAGTGGTGCTTCACTTCGAGAAAACAATATACCAAATAGAAGGATTTTAGAATAAATGAAATTTTGACAACTTTTTTTAATGTTTATTTAAATTAAATAACAACATAATTAGTGTAATTCGAATTATTAAAGAAATTTAAATCAAATGCGATTAACCACTTTAAAGAGGTAAATAATATGTTGCTAGGATTTAGGTTAGCCAAGATTTTACCGTGGTTTTTAATTTATATTACAAGTTTTATATACTTGTTCTAAGATATGCTAATTTGTAGTTTTTTGTGTTTAGATATGCTTTTATTTTTTGCAAAGTGACAATTACATTAAAGGTTTTCATACAAGAAGCTCTTATGCAAGAGACACTATATACTTACCGTAAGAGACACCAAATACTTACCGTAAGAGACACCAAATACTTACCGTAAGAGACACCAAATACTTACCTTAAGAGACACCAAATATGAGATTAGTGTAAGTAGTCTAATTAAAAGTTTATAAAAATCCTGATGTCAATTAAATTCGAAAAGAATTCTTTTTTAAATAAGGTATGAATATTTTTAAAAATTATTTTAATGATATTGTTTTAATATTTTCAGCTAATTTTTATTTATTTATGGCGTCGTTTAAATACGTCTATAATATTTTTTCTACAAATTAACAATGATATGAAATTACCATATATACATAAAAAAATGATACAAATTTACTATATACATAAAAAAAAAATGTTTAAAATACTTTAATTCAACATTTTTATCTTTGGTTGTTTAAAATCAATAAATTTTCTTTTTTTATTGCTAAGATTAATTGTAGACAATTTTTAGTTTAGTTGTTGAGAATCTTTAGTTGAACTGTAAGGAACCTTCAATTTAACTGTAAGGAATCTTTAATTTAACTGTTGGGTGTCTTTAGTTTAGCTGTTGTGTTAAGATACTTTAAAAATCAAGAACTTTGATCTCTAAAGCATTTTAAACTCCGAATTCATTGATTTTTAGATTTTATGTTATTTTTCTATTCAAAATCTCTTTAAAATAAAAATTCTTAGTAAAAGAAATTTATGATTTTATGTTCGCTTATAAAACACAGGCGATGCTTATAACAAGATAGGTAATGTTAATAACAGATCGTATTTAAAACATTTCATATTGATTTGGTCCTTTTTATTTTTCTTCAAACAATAATTACTTTTTTTTTAACTAAAAAACAAACTAGTAGTAAAATAAACGTTCGTTTTTAATCTATTTAAGAAAATATTTTACAAACCATTGATTTTAAAATCCCATTTCAGTATAAAAAAAACAAAATGCAGTTTCTTTTCGCGGTCATAAAGCTTATTAATTATAAATAATTGACAGTTATGAATCTGGAAAAATGAATTTAGTTTTTTACACCTATGCTATTTGAAGATAAAGTTTTGTTTATTTCAATGTGACAATAAATCTTTTTAGGTCTGGAAAATGTTAAAGGATATTTTTTCTCGAAAATATATTTTTACTAGTATTTACATTTTTTATTTTTTTATGAGAATTATTTTTTTGATGAGAATTTGTAGTTTTTTTTTTAAATTATTCATTAATTTATTATTTAAAACTTTTTTCATTACGAATATATTTTTTTTTTAATTAAAAAAACTCACATTTTTAAAACTACTTTGTTTTTCGATACTTGAGATATAAATTTAATTAAATTCGATGATCTAAAAAATAGCACTTATTATTTGACAAGTAAAAAAAAATTTTATGCATTTAATCAGGGCCAAATTAAGACATTAACCAATTAAGCCATGACTTATGACCCGGGGCTGAGATGGGGTCACTGGCTAATAAAGTTTAACAAACATAAACAAGAAAGTATAGAAAACTGAAGCTCAACTTTTTGGTTTACAATTATTTGATAGAATACTTACATTTACAAACATAAATTCGATGGTTTGTAAAAATATAAATTTTTAAAAGAATCTCAAATGAAATCGTTGACAAACATTCGAATGAAAGTTTACGTTTGTTATCATAGTAAAATAATTTACCAAATACAAACAAAGCTTCGGGAAGAATATTCTAATAATGTTAACGTCAAACCTTTTACAAGCATATCAATGTAGAAAAACTTAATGCATGTCAATGTAGAAAAACTAATAACAATAATGATAACTTATTGTTCTAGAGGGCGTTCATTTTCTCACATAAAGAAAATAAAATGCGAATAGAGAACCACAATTTTTCAAGAATGGTTATGTTCACTTAGCTTGCTGTGTATTGAATCGTATGCGATGAGAGAAAAAAAATTTAACAACATCGTCTGTGATTTTGCAAGACAAAAAGCAAAGGCTTTACAAACGAATTGAAATTATGCAGTTAATTTTTTATATACTTTTTTATTAAAATAACTGATTGATTTAAAATAATATCTTGTCTGTGCAATTTTTTTAACCCTCATGACAAGGATCCACCTCTGGTGTTGGCTTAGTGTCCCATTATGCTTTAATCCGGCCCTGTATTTACTGATTTACATAGGGGAAGGTTTCGTAAGATGAGCAGGCTTCTAAGATGGTTTAACCTCTATTATGGGTAGACTACTAATTTTTTCGCGAACTTTTTTGGTTAAGGATGTTTATACAAATACAATTTCTTGGTTGTATAGTTAATATTCTTTGATTGTTTTATTGTTGAAAAAATTTACCCTCCCCGTTATAACTTTTAATTATTTAATATTTTGTAATTATGTCAAAACGAAACAAGATAATCAAAAATTTATTACATCCTCAATAATTTATGCTTATCTACATCTAATTCCATGGGTTATATGAGATAATACATAAGCTGTTGTCATGCTATTTAAATTATGATAGTACTTGGTGAAGTTGCTTAAGATCAGGGCCGGATTAAGCATTTTTTGGTCTTTGAGATTGCTAACTTACAGATACGGAGCGAACTCCAAACATTTAAATGTTTATACTTATGTCAAATAAGGATGGTTTGCAATGAATGGAGCCTGGTAACAAAAAAGCCCCAAAAAATGCGCCCCCCCCCCCATAACTTTTGAACACTAAAATATTTTACTATGAAATTTAAAATTTATTGATGAATATAAATCTAGTTGAAAAAACAAAAAAAATGTTTCGTCAACTTATTGCTCTCACGTTTGGGGCAGAGGGGGGGACCAAAATTTGGGGCTTTTTTGTTCCCAGGCTCCAATCATCGCAATTTATTGCAAACCATCCTTATTTGACATAAGTTTAAACATATAAATGTTTGGAGTTCGCTCAATATCTGGAAGTTAGCAATCTCAAAGACCAAAAAATGCTTAATCCGGCCTTGCTTAAGATGATACGTTTTAGACGCTCAAGATGATATGAAGCTTTTTATTAAAAAAAAGCGCGTTTTTTTAAAGTTTTTCTCCGCAGAGCTTTATTTCAAGAGTAGGTTTTTTCAAAAAGTAGTATTGCAAACTTTTGATAACAAATTTATTGTTTTTTTTTAATGGTTGAGATAACTATTTTTTACTTAAGTATAGTCCTTAAAGATACAATTTTATTTAATTTTATTTTGTGATTATTTTTTTGTTATTTTGAGTTTTTTTGAGTTCCATTCAAAAAAGCTCATCTAAGAAAACTGGCTTCCTAAGATGGTTGGGTGCGTTGAAAATAACGCAATTTTTGGTATAAAGATTTTTTTTTAATGAACTATTCATTTATATTCTTTAAGAGTAAAGATTAAATTATGATAATATGAAAAAATAAATATAAATATTATAATATTTTGGCTGCAAAAAAACACTGTTAACATGCTCAACATACGCAATCTTCCCTTAACATATAAAATAGTTAATGATATATATTGTAGCATATAATAAAGAATGATAACGTTTTAATTCATAAGAGTTAAAAACAATTTTAATTGTTCTTTTTAGCAAAAAAACAATTTGGCTTAAATATATACTTACACTTTATAATTTGGACCAGGATAAACTATTGGATGAATCTATACGTAACAATTTTTATCATGGAATAACTAACTTTTTAAAATTCAGTTCTATGAAGAAATAATCAATGACTAAATTTTGCAATTTGATATTTGACTTCTTTGAGAAAGTAAAGGTTATTAAAAAATACTTCTGACACGCTTTAAGCATAATATTGCACAAGTAAAACTTTCTGATACGTTATAAACGTAACATTGCATCAATAAAACTTTCTGATACATTATAAACGTAACAACCTTTTGACATAACATACCATAACATGGCAAATGTAACGCTTTTTTTAGTTTCAAATTTTTTTTAATACAAAAAACTAATTTTTGTTTTAAATCTAGAAATTGATTTAAAATTTATTTTTATTTACTTCTGATTATATTTTACGTTGTTTGTTACAAAATCATTTTTAATTCAATCACCGATATGTTCTAAAAGCTGATATGTTTAAACTACTGTTATGAGCTCACCACTGATATCTGTGAACCGATGGTATGTGTTGATCGCTTATATGTTTTATACACATACTGGAAACTACTGGAAATTGATTAAACTTAGTTACTTTTTATCTTGTGAGATTTTGGAATCGTAGACATAACATTCTATAGCAGAAAAGACACTTTAGTTTATCTTTAATAAAGATTTGTCTATTTTCAATTCATAACATGTGGAACATGTTATTCACAAGCGTGTTCCAACATATTAAGTATGTTGTGTTGTAATATATGGAATGCGTAATGCACAAGCGAGTTGCCACACTCAGAATGTGTTATGCACCAGTGCGTTGCAACATATGGAATGTGTTATGCATCAGCCGGAAAAAACAATTGATTTTAGATATTTTTTATTTAATTAATTTTCAGAATCCTAGACTTAAAATTCTATGCCAGAAAATAAAATGTAATCGTCTATATTTAATGAAAATTCTCATATTTTGAATATGTTAACATTTGGAGCGTACGAACTAAAAATTTGCTGGAATAAAGAGAACTCACAGTTGAACGATTGAGTTTTTTATATATATATGCAACTTTTATCTTATTATAATTTATTAAATTTTATATCATTATAATTTATCAACTTTTATTTTAATTGACCTATGTTATGAGAATATCTAAACTTGTAACTAACTAAATTATTTGTTTATTTTATGTTGTATATATATATATATATATATATATATATATATATATATATATATATATATATATATATATATATATATATATATATATATATATATATATATATATATATATGTTGTTTTGTGATTTGGATTAAGATTTTTTCTTTGTATAATTAAATCTTTTAAAAATCATTTAATTTCATTTGTCTTAATTAAATGGTGAAATTTTGATATTAAATTTAAATTTTGTAAAATAAATTAAAAATGCTGAATTCATTGTGCCAGATTACTGTTATCAATAATTATTAGTTTTACCTTCAACTTGCAAGTAAAAATAGTAATGGTCGTATTTATTATACTTAAATAGTTTATAAACGTTTAAATTAATTTTAAATTGTTGAGTTCAATGTTTTTTCTTTTTTTTTAAATTAAAAAATGTTATAAAAATGATAAAGATACGACGGTTTGTAGACCGTTAGAACGCGAACGCCAAAACAGCCGTCAACTTTTAAAGTTTAAAATAATTATTAGAAATGGAAGAGCCGACGACACGGGTTTTGAAGTGCGGTGGCCTCCCCCAGTGTAGTTGGCCCTGAATAATTTTTTTAAATATATTTTTACTGCTTTTAATTTAATGTTGCTAAGTATTTGAAATACAATAGATTAAAACCTAATAGTTTATGAAATATCAAAACACATATAAAAAATAACTTTTAATGTAAAATTTTGTTAGTAATTTTTTCTTTGAATATCTGTCGTATACTGTCGTATATATGTAACTATGAAATGTTATATATTTTTAGTCCAATAGTCCGATTTAGACTAGGTTAATTATTTGTTTGTAACTTCATATCACTCAACTAATTTACTTTCTTCTTTGTCAAACAAAATACTTGTGTTATATATATAGAAATACAAAAAAAAAAAAAAAAAAAAAAATACTGTAAGAAAGATTTAAGGAGGAGAGAGGGATGATCACCCCTGCCTGACAGTAGAATAGATTAGAATAGGTTTGAATAATTTAGAATTGATCTAAATAAATTAGAATAGATTAAAATAAACTAAATAATGACATTTAATTAAATTTTAATTTTAAAGTATTAGTATATATAAAAATTAGCCAACAATAAAAGATTCTTCCCTTTTAGTATGCTCCAAAGATTATTTCAAACATGCAGATTTGCACAGTACATTAATAGTTCACTACAATTATAATTGGATTGCAATAAGTTTACAGAAAGAAAAAAAGTGTTCCTTGTTTATAATGTATAAGTTGCGTCAGCTGTTTACTGACTAAAGTAACCAGCCGGCAGCCGGCTTAAGTAATATAAAACAGCGTATTAGTTTGATGATTGATATTTTTATTAATAACTTTAAAAATTTTTGATGCCTCTATCAGAATTTAATTTTTTTATTATTTTGAGTTGAAAATAATTATTTTGGTAAGTAATAAATTAATGTTAATACATGTTCAATAAAGATACTTTAATATTATTATTAAGTCTATTGATTGGTAAACCTGAATGGTGAACCTGAACTGGAAATGTATATAAAAACAGAGCTGGGTTTCAAAAACATTATTATGATGACCTGAATTGGTAAGCTTGATTGGCGAACCTGAATTGGAAATCTATATAAAAACGAAGAACTGGATTTTAAAAACAGTATTATGATGGCAGCCATAATATTCAAACAAACTTTTGCTAAAACTATTGCGGTAAAAAAAAATAAGAATCTAAAGAACATGTTCTCTCTGCTTTAAGTAGTATTACAGCTACTTCCAATTTTTTATTTTAAAACTTGAGTCAAACAAAATATTCTATTTTATATATATATATATATATATATATATATATATATATATATATATATATATATATATATATATATATATATATATATATATATATATATATATATATATATATATATATAATAATAAGATACAGAGCCTTATATAATAATAAATACAGAGAAATGTTATGAATAGACTGTATGAAAATCATACAGTCTATTCATTCAATTTTTTCTGATAAAATTCTGAGTGGGTGAAGATAAGATACGAAAGTGTTGGGTACTGATTAGTATAAAATTTTGATTTTGCACTGTTTTTATTTATTTTTGCATACACTATAAAACTCTTTTATTCGGGTGAATTTATTAGGGTGAACCCATTCTTTGCTCCTATTCATAAATAATTACAACTAAATAAACTTATGAATAGCATTATAATAAATTACAAAAGTGTGAAAAAAAAATTACAAAAATGTTAATTTTAGATTCTTGCATTTGAAAAAAAATTACTT